CAGGACAGAAATCCCAGCCCTGGGACAGAAATCCCAGCTCAGGGCAGAAACCCCAGCTCAGGGCAGAAATCCCAGCCCAGGGCAGAAATCCCAGCTCAGGACAGAAATCCCAGCTCAGGGCAGAAATCCCAGCTCAGGGCAGAAATCCCAGCTCAGGACAGAAATCCCAGCCCTGGGACAGAAATCCCAGCCCAGGGCCGAAATGCCAGCCCTGGGCATTTAGAATAAACCCCCACATGCAGGGCAAGGCAGAGCAGCAGCCCCAAGCCCTGCAGCCTCCCCTGCCCTGCTTTAAGAGCTGTGGAATCCCCACTGGGACCAGCTGCCCGTGGATAATTCCCACTCCCTGGGCTGGTGCTGCTCTGCTCCTCCCTGGGTGCTGAGCTCGGGGCTTTTCATCCTCCCTTTGCTGCTGCCTGAGGTTTGTGCTCCTGGTCCTGCCCGTGTAGGATCCCTGGGGTGGGGAGGCAGCTGCTGCTGGGATTTGGGATGAGCAGCCCCATCCTCAGCCCATAACTGAGCAGGTTTGGGTGCTCACACTCTGTCTCAATAACCTGCTGCTCTTTCTGTGGCTCTTGTAAAAATTCCCCTCGGTATTTCAGCTGCTGGAGTTACAGCTTTGGAGCTAAATCATGGACTTTGTTGTAGGAAAAGAGGTGAAAAATCTGCCAGGGCTCCTGTGTCTGGCAGTGCCAGAAACAGTCAGATCCCTCCTCAGATCTCTGTTTCTCCCTAATAGCAGATCAAAGCTTCCCTCAGCACTGAGGAATTTGCTGCAAAGTGATTGAGTGCAAATCACAACTGGTGAGACGGGGCTGGGCTCACCTTGAAGCACGATCAAGGTGCAAGTGAAGTATTTCTAGCTGGGTTTAAGTAAATAAACTTATTTTGCCCTCATTTCTTCCTGCAGGCTGTGGTACCTCTGCCTTTCTGGGCTTCATCTGGATGAAGATTTGGCCGTAATACCCCAAGATTTCCCAAAGCTACTCCTTGAAGTTAATGACAGACTAAATGACTAAAGATTAAACCATTTCAGGTCCAGCCTGGATGGAGCTGGGAGCACCCTGGCCTGTGGAAGGTGTCCCTGCCCATGGAACTGGCTGATCTTCAAATTCCCTTCCAACCCAACCCGATCTGCGACTTTGGCTCCTTCTCTGGACACGTTTCAGCAAAGAATGAAGATCATCAAAGCAAAGAATGAAGCAAAGAATGAAGATCATCAAAGACCTTCTGCAGCCACAGAATGAAGGACAGAAGCTTTTGGGACACGGAGCTTGGCTTGGTCACTGCAGAGCTGGGCTGGTGGCCCTGACCCACCTGCAGTGCTCCAAAGGTCACCTCCTGAAGGTCCAGCACCTCCTGGAACTTCAAACACGACCAGGGCATGTTTGAAGGAGGCCCTGAGAACCAGAGGGACTCGGATCCGGGGGCAGCCACTGGTGCAGATTCCCACAGTGAATTCCAGAGGATCCTGGAGTGAAACCTGCAGGAGAGGAGGAGAGGAGGAGGAGCAGAGCATGAGCAAAGTGTCCCCCATGGAGTTTCCCTCCACACAGCAGAGCCTTGGGGCCAAGAATGGAAAATTAGGGGTTGAGGAGCTCACCAAGAAGCTGGAAAAATGTTTTTTTTTTTTTACCTGAATTGGGATGAGAAGATCAGAAAAACTCCTCTGGTGACTTTTCTGCTACTGTGGAGAAGGTGAAGAGCTGGTGGCCACATAATCTTCTCCTCCACATCCCAGCCACCAAAACCGGGTTGGATTTTTGCACTGGAATTTCTCACTGAGGAAAAAAAGACAAAACCCAACAAAGAAACAATTCCAGGCTTAGGATTTCTCCCCATGATGGGTTTGGATTGTATTTTACAGTATTTATTTACCTCTAAGCACTTCCACTGCTCCTCTGATGAACTTTCCAAGCTCCACAGGGCAGGGGGGTCCTGAGGAAATCCCACTGCAATCAACTCCAAGAAGAGATTCAACATCACGGGGGTTTAGGTGGAACAGTAAACTTGATTTATTGAAAAAAAAATCTATTACATTTATTCCTTTATTACACAGGTTTAAAATATTTAAAAATAGCTCTTATGGGCATTACACTTAAATTTTATGACATGTTTATTGGACTTTGAAGAAATGTACAATACGGCATTTGACACTATATTTTAAAAAGGGCCTTATGTACTAAAAGTTGGGTTTTTTTTTTTTTTTCCATAGGTTTTATTTTTCTTATCAACATTTGTTCAAGTCAATATATATTAAGGGGAGGAGGGAAATAAAATTACACAAAAAGAAGGTCTGCAAATACAAGTAGTAATTTTATTGCAATATACCGTAGCTAAGTGGTCTGGGGGGGATCGGAACAGTTGGGAGCTCAGTACAATTACAACACTGTGGAATTCAACAGAGGAAATTTTTATTCTTTTTTCTTTCTTCTTCTTCAAGCAGAGAAATCAAAGGAAAAAAAAAAAAAAAAAAGAAGCTCCCTTGATGAGAAAATTGAGAACAGAATCCCATGACCTGGGCAGACACACAGGTGTGGACAAATATCAGAAATATCAGGATATGGCTTTGCTGGGATGTGCAACCTTTCCTGCCCTTCCCGCTGTTGCCAAGGTGACCGAGAAGCTGAATTCCTTATTTATTATCCTAAATTCCTTTTCACTGCTCTGCTGCCCGGAGTCTGCAGTTTTTAGGGTAGCACCTTTTGGGATTTATTTAAATTTATTTCCCTTGAGTGGGAGAGAGCACAGGAGAAGAAGGGAGAGGGATGGACACGGCTCCTCCAAAAAGCACCGCTGGCATCGCCGCTCCCTCCAGCACGGCTTTGCCTCCCTTCCTCGGATGCTGCTGCTCTCAGTTTGGGCAGGAGGGGAGAAAAAACATCATATATAGGCTTTTTTCACAGTAAATGTGATGTCTTTTCCTTGGTGGTGAAAAATCCCCCTTGAGCTGAAGAATAATAATAATAATTTACAAAAAGAACCCCACCTTGCAACAGTTATTTTCCAGCTGAGAGACCTGAAGAAGGAAAATGGGCAAGGAGGCAAAATAAATGGGAAAAGAAGAGGGTGTCAGCACGTCGTGAGCCGTGGAAGGAATAAAAAAAAATAAAAATAAAAGTGGGAAGAGCAGGAAAATTGCAAATTCCCCAGATTGCTGGGCGGGCAGCACCCCCACGGCTTCAGGACACCCAACATTAACATAAATTAGCACCACAAAGGTTCAGCCACTGAGGACAATCTGCTCTGCTTCCAACCGGGAAAAGACATGGATATCCTTGGGAAAACCAAAATAATAACAACAATAATAATAATAATAATTTAAAAAATTGTAAGGACATTTAATGCTTTTTTCTACATCCAAGGAAGGAGAGGAGCAGGATTTGGACAGAAGAGATAAGAAGGTGCCATGCATTTATCAGCAGTCAAAATCTGCCTGAAAGTGCCTAAAAAGCCAAGTGGGAGATTGGCCAGTGGCAGGGTATCCCCAGTGTTGTGTTAAAATTATCAGATAGCACCACAGAGATATGTAAAAATAACTATAAAAAGCACCTTTTTTTTTTCTTCCTTTTTTTTTTTTGGTTTTTTTTTTTTTTTTTTTTTTTTNTCTTCCTTTTTTTTTTTTGGTTTTTATTTTTATTCTTGATATTCAGAGAGGACAAATGGATTTCCCCTGCCACTGGGATCCGCCACTGGGAATGGATTCAGGTTTAATTCTTATCATTTTAAAGGAATGCTGAAAGAAAAAAAGGAGAATTAATTTAAAATACTAAGCAAGTGGATGAAAAGGCAGAGACTCAATGCAGATCCTGCTTTTAGATCAGGGGATTTGTAGGGAATTTGTTAAAAAGTGGCTTTAATTTCCTCATTTTGAAAGGAATCATTGCAAAAGGCATCTGTGGCTCAGGGGGCTGGTTTGCAGCTGATCCTGGGGATAATTCCAAGGCTCCAGATCCCATTTTGGGGCTGGGAAGAGGCAGAAGTGGGGACAGGAGCTGCTGTCTTCATTCCCAGCTGGAAGCTCGGCTGGGATGGGCTGGCTTTAATACAGACAAGGTCACTTGCATGGTTTGAAGGCGGAAACATTCCAACATATTTGAAATAAAATACGACACAAACATTTACTCACAAACATACAAAAATAGAAGCACCTTTAAGACACGGCAAGGAGATGCCCAGTGTGACCTTGAGTCAGCACTTTGGGAAACGTGGAATGAGGCAAACTCAGCGCAGGAAACACGGAAAATTCTGGAATTGGCTGTGGCATCTCCTTGCTGGAGCTGATCCAAACCTCGTGGAAGGCAACAAAACCCCTCTGAGGAGCTTCAGATCCAGGACTGCCGGGACTTCAACATCGAGCTGGACACGAGGAATTTCAAGTTTTTTCCATTTTATTTTTTCCTTAGGAACAAACAAACGCTTCCTGGCGAGAAGAAGAAGAGGAGGAGGCAGGAGGAGTTTGCTGGAGGTGGGCTCAGCTCGGTGGCCACGGGGCAGCAGCGGTGGCAGCAGGGACAGGGCCAGGTCTCCGTGTGTGGCTGTTGGTCATGAGATTCCATATCCATCCTGGGAATGGCTGAGGGGGCACAGAGGGGCTGGGGGCAAAACCAGGGGCACAACAAAATAGGTGGGAGGGAGGAAAAAAAAAATAATAACCCATCGCTGTCCAGTTTCAGACCGTGCACGTGACGAGGAATTCTTTTTTTTCTCCGTTTTTTTTTCTTTTTTCTCTTTTTTTGTTTTTAATTAAATGGCGCAATGAGGTTACGAGGTTGCTCATTTGGAGACTAGGTTCAGGTGGCTCTTTTAGCCCAGGAAGCAAGCTGGTCCCACCTCGAATCCAAATTTCTGTGCCGCTTCTCCGAAGTCATTGAACATGATGTCGACTATGGGGACCTGCTCCACTTTGGGCGTGTTGATTTCCAGGATGGTTTTCTGGTAGCCCTTCCTTGCCTGGAATGAAGGAAAGAGGAGCTCTGAGGATGCCTCCAAACCAACATCAGCACAATTGAATAACCACCACTCTGCTGGGAATGTGGTGTTGATTTTTCCTGGGTATCCTTAGACCCAAATTGGAGTCACCACCACCCAAACAAATTTATTTGGACGTTTAACACATGTGCTGAAAAACCCTCGGGAGATGCCCAGATCTTGGAGCAGAAGCAGATCATGACACTCTAACTCTGCTCTAGCACATTTCCAAGCTGGAATGGGAACCTGGAAAAACTGTGGCTGTGGAAGGGTTGTTTTCCCTCCCCCAGGACACACCTGGCTTGTTGGGCAAATGGTAGCAATTTAATTTGAATATATTAGTGAAAAGATCACATTTAAAGTTTGGTGGAATTCACAAGGTGCTGCTGTCTTTTTATCATGCCGTGGTGGCCACAGAGTTCCTTCCAAAATATAAATAATTATTAGAGGAGCAGAAGTACCCCCTGAGGGTGTACAAAGCTGCACAAACAAGAGAATTTATGGAGCAGCTTTGGGCTCTACCTTTCCCTGTGATTTGTGTGGCTCGGGAGAACAGGCTGGATGGAGCACAGCTACGAGAAAGGGCTGGAAGTTCAGGAAAAACATATTCAAATTATGGGAAGAACATCAGCCCTGGAGCTCCTCTGGCTTCAGCAGCCTCCCCACTACAGCAGGACCTTTGGGGCAACACCGTGTGGGGCAGCCCAACCTCATCTCCACAATTCCTGTATTCCTCAATCCTGAATCATTTAGGATGGAAAAGACCTTTAGGATCATCGAGTCCAACCATTAACCCAGCACAGCCCAGCAATTGGATGGGTTATAGCACTCACTCCCAAAAAAGACGTAAAAGCACCCCTAAACTCCTGGTGGAGTTCTCTAAATTCCTAAAGGGCTTTTTATGGGTCTAAGAGTCAGACTGAAATAATCTTTAATGTAGAGAATCAATTGTAAACCCCAAACTCCTTTAAGTAAATAAATAAATCTCAAATATCCCGCCTGTACTTTGGGCAGCACGATCTGCCAGGGTAGCAGATTAATCCAATTTATCTGCCCAAAAGGTAGAGGTTTTCAGGAGGCTCATCCACTTTAAAACCTGAAAGACGTGGTCCTCCAGCAACCCTGAGATTCAGAAGGGGAAGGAAGGAGAAGGCTCTTTTTCCCAACAACATTATGTCTGCAGGAGACACAAAAAACTTGAGGATAAATTTCTCCTGAGTGTTTCCAGAAGGGGGCTGGATGCCCTTTCCCTCTCCAGGAATGTGTTAAAAGTTCTAATATGATTTTCCTCATTGCTCCATCAGTAAAAAAAATCTGTTTGTGCCAGAACAGAAGCATTTCAATCTTAAATTATAAGAGGAGCTTTTTCTGTCAAACATCTCAATCTTTCTATCCCGTGGGCTCCAAGTGCTGCAGTTCCAGAGGGTGGGAATTATGCATGTTTTTACACCAGCAAGCTGGGGCTCAAAATAAATGCAGACAGCACCTGTTTTGCCAAATTTTTATCTCCTGAGGACAGAATTTTCAGAGTTTAAACCCAAATCAAGCATCCAAGAGGAGTTAGAAGGAAAGGGAGGAGGTGAGGCACCTTTGGAAACTGTAGCTGTGATTGTGCACCCCATGAGCAGCACAGCCCAGAACCTTCCTGGGCCTCCAAGAACAAAAACTCCAACCAAACCTTCCTGCTTTGCCTCTAAGAATTTTTGGAAGAAGTTACAAAGATTTAAACCCTACAAATTTCCAACCCATTGCTCACCTCTCCCCCCGTGAGGAATCGGGTGAGAACAAAAGCACAGGGAGGCTTTTAAAAGCAAGCAGCACTTTTAGGCAGATATTAATCAGATTAATTGGACTCCTGGAGGTGCTGCAGCTTCCCCTGGCTTCGAGCAGGATCACGGATTCCCATGGAATCATTTATTTCCAACTTAGAGAGGAACACGTCGATGCCTCCCGCGTTAAGGACAACCCCAAGGACCGTGAATTTGAGGGTGATCTGCTCTGGGGAAGATGGTGCTGGCCAAGCAGGGGAGGGGACAGAGGTGTCCCCAAGGTGTCCCCAAGGTGTCCCCAGGGTGTCCCCAAGGCCGGGAGCCCCCACGTACCGCGCAGCCGTCGAGGGCCGCTCGGATGTAGGGGTTGTTGTCGTAGGACATCTCCTCGTCGTTGGAGCCCAGGAAGCGGATGGCCTTGTCGTAGCTGTTGGTGGTGGCATCGTGCCAGGCCACCGACTGGTAGCAGTTGTAGGTGATGTTCTGGCGGGCCGAGGCGCTCAGGAGACGCAGGAAGGTCATCTGCACCACCCCGATGGGGTTCCCGTCCGAGTCCACGTAGGAGAGCTGGGAGAGGGGGAGAAGGGACAACGCCGGGCAGTGAGGGACAGGGAAACACAGCCAGGGGCTCTGAGGGACACCAGTGCCACCAGCACAGACACTGCTCCTGAGCTGGGGGCTCTGAGGGACACCAGTGTCACCACAGACACTGCTCTGAGGGACATCAGTGTCACCAGCAGAGACATTGCTCTGAGGGACACCAGTGTCACCACAGACACTGCTCTGAGGGACACCAGTGTCACCAGCACACACTGTTCCTAAAGGACACCAGTGCCACCACACTGCTCTGAGGGACACCAGGGCCACCACA